GGAGAGAAGTAGCAGAGAACATGAAAAGGCAGAGTTAAACCATCAAATAAATTATATTCATATCTGTCTATGTCTGTCTGTCAGTCTATCTATAATTTATCTAATTTATCTTTCTTGTCCAGAACTGTATAGACCAGGGGTGTCAAACATGTGGCCCGGGGGCCGGATGAGGCCCCCAGAGGGCTTCTATCAGGAACTGCAGTGGAACTGGCTGTCTTCTGCTTCTTCTTCCAGTTCTGCTGCTGCTGCGTCATCGTAGGTTTGCAGCTTACAGATACACACTTAAACAGCATACTCAAGATTGCAGCAGCACAGACATTTTGATGCAATAATTCAGAGCAAGAGGTGTCAGTTATCAGACACTGTTAAATAAACAAGATATTGCAAGAATGCTAATGTTTTCAGCATCTTTTTATTTTAAGTAAAAAAAAACCCTTTGTTTTTGTGTTTATATCTCCACTACCTGGCATTACCTTTTATGACACACATGGCCCGGCCCAACAAGGTCTCATTTATGTCAGATCCGGCCCTCATAACAAATGAATTTGACACCCCTGGTATAGACAAATCTGTTAATTAATGAATGAAACATCTCTGCCTATCTCTCTCCTTCTCTCTCCATCCTTATGTGTACAGCTTTCTGTACAGCTATCTATATCTGTATCCCATCAAAGTTCACAGTGTTTTACAAAGTGGAAGAGACAATCCCCTGCCCTAAGGAACTTACACAGGTTGTGAGGAAGGATGGAAAAGTGCAAGAGATGGGGGCCTCACCAATGATGGAGGGCAAGAATAACAAAAAAAAATATGGTGCCGTGGGAAACAGAAAGTGTTTTTCTTCTGTTATACTGCCCTTACATATTTCTTCAGGGCAATTTGTGTAATAGTCCCAGGCAGTTCCCGTAGCTGCTGTGGGAACTGTCTGAGACTATTATACAGATCCCCCTGAAGAAGCATAGGTGAAATGCCTAAAGACAGTATAACAGAGTGAAACTCTTCTTTCCCCCCAACACACCTACTACCCCTCTGCATATCTTGACTAAATCCAATCACACCTGCTATTGTCATTCGGCATCTGAAATCACTTCACTCTCCAAGACACAAGGACAGATGGACTCCCGGTCTAGCTATATCTGAAGAAGTGAGCCGTGACTCACAAAAGCTCCTACCCTGCCACATATTTTGTTCATCTTTAAGGTGCTACTGGACTCTCGCTTTTTTCTGCTGCTGCAGACAGACTAACGCAACTTGATCTATAACCATTTTTTTAACCAGGACAGAAAAGGCCAATTTAACTTTAGGTGAACTTGAATAAGGGCAGTTACACATCTTTACATTTTGTTTTGGTTGAGCGTCACTCTAATTTCAGCCTGTCAGTTTACAATGATATAAATCTCTTAGTGATCATGCCCTGCCTGCCGGCCTCCCTCCCTCCCCCTGTTGTAACATATTCACTAAATATGTTCATTTTCACAACGTGGCTAGACTTGCTAGCCCTAGATCTAAAAGCGATGGGGCCCACACCCAAGTAATTTCCTGAAAGCAACACTCTATTTAGAGAACTCTTTGTGGCAGCTGTATTGCTTCCACTCCTTTAGTCAAGCTTGTGACAGTAACTGGTTTAAATATCTGCAGGTTCCTCAGGGAAACTTGACAGTGATTTATTTAACCAAGCAGACCTCTGCATTTGCCATGAATGCCTTGGGTATTGCCAAGGACATCTTCAATATGTATTTCTGATAGGGTTCCCAACTTTCAGGTGAGACTCAGAGATCTCTTGATATTACAACTGATCTGCAGATGACAGAAATCACCAGATTAAAACTGACCTCCAGACAACAGAGATCGGTCCCCCCTGAGAAAATGGCTTCTATAGAGGGTGGACTGTGTGGCATTATATTCCTGATACCCTCCATCCCCTTCCCAAACCTCACCCCCTTCCAGGCTCCACCCCCAAGTCTCCAGGAATTTCACAACTCAAAGTAGACAACCCTAATTTCTAAGTCATACCATTAATTCATTTCCTAATTTTTTAAAAACAGATTTTGTGTTGGCCATAAATCCCTTCCCTGTCCCCCCAAATGGGTGGTAGATCTAAAGCTGATAACATTAAGCAGGGCTCTTTTTGTAGCAGGAACTCTTTTGCATATTAGGTGACACACCCCTAATGTAGCCAATCCTCCAAGAGTTTACAGTAGCCCCTGTAAGAAGAGCTCTGTAAGCTCGTGGAGGATTGGCTGTATTAGGGGTGTGTTGCCTAATATGCAAAGGCGTTCCTGCTATAAAAAGAGCCCTGAACCTGAACCTGAAATTTATGCTAGTTTTGAACTTCTTCCAGTAATTTAAGTGTCCTAATACAATACACCCATTTTATTGTCCCTGGCCGCAAAACTGATTTGGGATTCATGACACATAGGAGCTCTGGGAAGTGAGTAACTTTAACAATTCATAAACAAGTTAAAGTGTTGGTAAAAATGTAACTTTATTGCAATATTATACACGCAACCGCTGTAAAAATGACAAACATTCTGGTCGGTATGGCTTTTGCATAGGTTCTCTGTCTATTGCACCTGAACTCTTTATTGCTTTATCCAACAAAAGCTAGAACGAAACATGACCACCACAGAAATACACAGATTAAAAAAAAAAACACAAAGGCAAAATTGCACCAAATAGTTTGTGTGGATGTAAAATGTAAACGGGTAGCACAAATCTAGTTTAACACAGACTGAACGTTAAGGCTATGATATAAACCAAGAGAATAATGCAACCTCTCCCAGCCAGTCCTTTCACCAATGAGGACAGAGAGATACAAGTCCTTGATTAGCATAACAATGAAAGAGGGAGAAAGGGTGGAGTCTGACTAGTCCATTGTCTGTAGACCGTTGTTGTTGCTATTTCACCTGGAATTTTAGAAAAAGAAGGATTAGTGTTGCTGTATGGGATACATAACATATAACTACCCATTCCCTTTTAATCAGAGAATCATAGAGGAATTTCAGACAGGCGATATATTCCAGTTCAGGAACGGTTCCCAAATGGTTTCTGGTCTGACATTTCAAACAGAACTGTTTTAGAACCGGTTCCCTACCGGAATATATTTGTACTTTCACACACAAACACTTCTGTCCCATTCAGGAAACGGGGCTGAACCGTTTTACCTGTAAACCACTTCCAAAAAGTCTTCAGGTTCTTCTCCCGGATCCGAAATGCTTTTCCCCACCATTTTTCGGCCGCGCGGGTGATCTCCAGCTTTTTTTTGAACGTTTGCTTTAGAGTACTATAGCACTATAGCACTATGACACAACAGCAAAACAGCACTATAGCAACCCCATTGGAATGTTGCTATAATTGTATTATAGCGCTATAGCGCTCTAAAACAAATGTTAAAAAAAAGGCGGAGAACGCCCGCGTGGGCGAAAAACGGCAGGAAAAAAGTGGGAAAAAGCAGTGCAGTCTGAAATGGCAAACCACTTCAGATCCAGCTGTTTACCGGTAGGGGAAAGCCATGTGAGAAATGGCAGCCCTATACCGGTTTACTCCACGATGGATCAAAAACGGCTTCAAACCGGCTTTAAAAGGGTAATGTGAAATTCCTCATAGAGTTAGAAGGGACCTCCAGGGTCATCCAGTCCAACCACCTGCACAATGCAGGAAATTCACAAATACCTCCCCCCCACACCCCCAGTGACCCCTGCTCCATGCCCAGAAGAGGGCAAAAAACCTCCATGAACACTGGCCAAATTGCTACCTGACTCCAAAGTGTCAATCAGCAATTCCCTAGATGTGTAAGAAAGGGCCACAAGAACTAAGCACTGATGCAATCCTTTCTGCCCTCCTTCTTACGATCTCTATGGCATCTGGTTCACCATCAACATTCAATAAGAAAGGTGTCTTCTAATAGCATGGTAACTCTTTTTACAAAGCATAGATGAGGGTTTGTTGGACGGCTTTTCTGTTTTGAAGTTCAGTAGCTTTGGGTCTACCGATATCCTTCAAAAGCAGATGACTGGATCCACACATGTTCTGCATGAGGTGATGGGAAATGCTCATTATTATAGCCTTATATTTGAAAAAAGAAACTAGTGATATGGTGCCTTCTTGAAACAGTTCACAAAATGTGCGTCCACCCTTGGAATTTGACCTGGCCAATATTGGGAAGCCCACTGGCAATGAATACTGGTTTTGGTCTCCATTTTCCTCCCTTCTGCAAGTGAATGACTATTGGACCATAGTTTGTAAAGCTATGTCCTGGAAATTTCCATTCAGTTCCTTCCCATCCTATTCATTTTACCTTGATGACAGTCACGGTGGCGCCGTAGAAAAGGCTCACGAGGAACAGGATGATGAAAGTGAAAAGGATTGACGAGATGTTTAGGATTCCCTCATCATCCTCAATGATCACAATCCCATCAAGGAAAGCTTTGGACGATAAACGGAAATCAGTTTCGTTAGTTCAGAAAAAAAAGGAGAGGCCTCAATGTAATTGACATAGCACAACAGATGGTAGCACATCAAGGGGGGGAGGCAGGGAAAGCGAGGAGGAAAGGGACATTTTTTTAATAAGCCACAGTTAAGTCTTGACGATGCCGAGCAGTAAGTAGAACTGGGGAGAGACAAAGGGGGGGAAAAGATTCTTGTGATGCCTTCAAGAATCACAGGTGTATCAATGTGCAACTTTCGTTGGGTTGGATCCAACCACTTTCCTCTTGTGAAACGGAAGGAGGGATTCCCTTTGACCCCTCAAAAAGGGTATGCTGGGGATCAGAGGAACTTCATGGCCAAAAATCAAGCGAGGTGGTAGCTGTAGATAGGAGAATTGTGTGGGATTGACTGAAAATTCTGGATGGATCTAATCCATGGGCTAAAGGCGCCTTCATCAGATGTATGAATCCAATGCATCTGGTATATATACTGTAAGGGGGTGGATTGTGTTAAAAGGATATGGGTTGGATCCTGTTAGCTTTTATGCTGGTCCCAAAGGGGAGAAGAGCAATCCTGCCCAACTACCCTCTTCACTGCAGCCACTTCTCATTTGGTTGGCTGGCAGCCTTGGAGGTATCAAAAAGAAGAAGAAGAGGAGAAGAGATTGGATTTATACTCTGCCCTTCACTACCCAAAGGAGTCTCAGAGTGGCTTACAACCTCCTTTCCCTTCCCCTCCCCACAACAGACACCCTGTGAGTTAGGTGGGGCTGAGAGAGCTCTGCCAGAAATGGCTCTTTTTCAAGAACAACTCTTATCAGAGCTACGGCTTGCCTAAGGTCATCCAGCCAGGTGCAAGTGGAGGAGTGGGGAATCAAACCCGGTTCTCCCAGATTAGAGTCCACACACTTAACCACTACACCAAAAGGAGATCCTCCTTGCATCAGGGGATGTTGGTAGGATCCAACCCTATGAACTGCATTTCATAACCTATTAACATCCCTGTCCTCACTCTCCATACATATGCACTAACTGAGACTTCACTTCATATGTCTGCTGAAGTGTGCTGAAGCCCATGGGCATTTTTGGACCAATAAATCTTTAAAGAGCCACAAAACTGCTTTTTTGTTGTTGCAATAGTTTGACATAACTACTTTAGTGGAATTTGTAACCCTGGAAGGGCAGGAGCAGTAGAGTGTTGGTACGCTGGCAGATGGAGGCATTTCTCAATGCTGGCTAAATGAAGAAAAAATGAGACGGAAGGGAAAATAATGATTTCTTGCTGGGCAAAGAATTATTGTTTGGTTTGTTGGTGACTTGAGACTCCAGAATTCTGCAATTGGATGTGGAGGAGAAATGCAAATTAAGAGCATTATGTAATGAAGGAGATAACGATCCAGACTGTAGAACATGCTGAAGATGCTAGTGTCTGTATTTTTGGTTCTGTTGGTATAGTAGAATATTGACATATATCTAACGTGGGAACACCCCGGGAATTGAACTCATACTGAAGGAAGCATAGAATGCTTGAATTGTTCTTGGCAAGGCCTGCTTTGTAAAGGGAGCCAGAAATGACAGGCATTGCCTTTGTGAACTAGGTGGTCCTTGGGAATTTTGTGAGGAAGGGCCTCCTTGTGTAGGCTTCTTTCAAGCCGAAAGCAAAGCCTGTTATAGTACAGAACTTACTGGTGTGGCCTGGTGTGATGAAGAAGAGGAAGGGAAAATGGTGGTGGAATAATTTTGAAGGGGTAGCTCTGGTAGCCAAATTAGAGAGGAGTCCAGTAGAACCTAAAAGACTAACGAAAATGGATTCCAACAGAAGCCTTCATGAGTCAGAGGTCACTTCGTCAAACACTGGACTCGTTCAAGAGTGATGGAATAAGATGGAGATGGTTCATATGTGTGGTCATCTTTGAACATATCGTTATGAAGCTGTGTTATACTGAACCAGGCCATTGGCCCACTTAGGTCAGTATTCTCCACTCTGATTGGCAGCAGCTCTAACCTGTTGGCTGTCTGCATTCTTCCACTGAGATATGGCCCCTTTCCCAAAACGTGCGAGTTTGTTTTATGTTGTGTCCAAGGATTTCTTTTAAACCATTCCCGATATAGATGTTCATTTTCTGGGAGTGTCAGTATCTATTTACTATTGCATTTATAACCTAAAGAGTGTGTTTAAATTAGAGAATCGTTTATTGTTGCAACTGGAAAGAGGTGAGAGGGAAAGTGAAATTAAAGGTTGCGGTCACACGTGCCAGAAAAAAATTGGGGGGGGGGGGGAAGGGAGGCTATTTCCTCCGGAGGAATTTGACCCGCAGTTGCCCGTCCACCCCTCCCTTTGAAGCTGCGGGCGCAGTCCATCAGTGTGTGATCAGACGCAACTCTTGAGTGTGGGATCAGACCCCACTTGAGGTGGGGCGGGGGGGGGGTTGTGCTATTTCCCCCCATGTGCTTAACCGAGGGATCGATGAATCACACCTCCACACCGAGGACTCCCTATGGAGTTTGCGATTATGTGCATACTGCGAAGGGGGAAGAAAACAATGGCATGGAGTCGGGAGGGCCTGATCAGACCATCCCAATGACATGAGAGCGCGCTGGAGCGATCAGACATGGGAAAGTCCGTCCGCGGCCTGTCGCAACCCGTTAACGACTGGATTTTCCCTGGCGTCTTTTAACTCTGCTTCTGTGGCGGGGCAGAATGGGTTGCCGATGGCTGCGGGGTGCTTCCCAGATGTTGTTGCTTGCTTGTTTATTTATTTATTTATATTTGGATTTATATCCCGCCTTACCCCGAAGGCTCAGGGCGGCTATGTTATGTTGTCTGAACACACCCTTTAAATCCGCCCAGCATTTGCACCTATGTCGGGTCTAATTGTTTATTTATTTATTTTTGACATTTTTACCCCGCCCTCCCCGCGAGCGGGCTCAGGGCGGCTTGCAAGGGACAGAGCAAATGTAAAACATAATAAAAGCAATAAAAGCATTAGATAACACAGATAAAAGTAAAGTGCATAATTGTGCATATGATTGCAGCCAGAGCTTCTCTTCAGCCCAGCACAACCCACTCCATGGTATGCATGTGTCTCATTAATGTCTTTATGTGTGTGTGTACTCCTATCTCTTTCCTTATTAATTTTATCTTTATTTATTTATCTTTGAATTTATATCCCGCCCTACCCCGAAGGCTCAGGGCGGCTTATGTGAATTCCCTGTGGATTTTTATCTCCTAGTATTATCCTTTACAAATGGGTTCAGTACCATTACAGTACCATTACAGAAATCAGTCATCGTGTCAGTATTACGGATCCCGCTAACCTGTGTTAAAATTCCTTCCTGAGTCCAAATGAGAAAGTAACTTAAGCATGAGTAGGACCCAAATATTGAGTCTTCCCAAAAGAATTTGTATTGAGCAGGAGTTCAGCACCTTCCGATACTGATCTTTATTATCCAGGACCTCTCTACTCTCTGAAAGGTGAGGTGGGGAATGGGTGGGATGCTGACCCACCCCAGTTGCTTTGCTCTTCCTTCTATAGGTTGACCTTGACAGGAAGAAATGGGAATGGTTCTGAGTCATGTATGGGAAGAGAAGAAAATAAGACCTTAATGTATGATGCTCACCACCCACAAAGGAAGATGCTTTGCAGGGGTGGGGCAACCTCTACACCTTCCGATTTACTGATATTCTCTTAAGCAATATAAACACCTTTGAAAAAATTGTCGATTTGCCTAAGCTTTGTCCTTGTCAAACGTAACTCTCTGTTATGGAACTCTCTTGCATTGGCTACTGGCGGAGTTCCAGATCCGCTTCAAGGTGTTGGTAATAACCTTTAAAACCTTACATGGCTTTAGTAACCTTTAAAGCCAACATGCCCGAGGGACCGTCTCTCGTATATGTCCCAAAGAGCATTATGCTCCATGGACCAACATCTCTTGGTGGTCCCTGGCCCAAAAGACATCCATCTTGCCTCAACCCGTGCCAAGGCTTTTTCTGCTCTGTCCCCTGCCTGGTGGAACATGCTCCCCATTGGCCCTGTGGGATCTTCTTCAATTCCGCAGGGCCTGTAAGAAGAAGCTGTTCCGCCACGTCTTTGGCTGAGGCAGCGGACATCCATGTTCAGCCTCCTTGAGATTCTTGTCACCCATTTAAACAACTGCCGGCCTTTATTTTCATCTCACCACGGGCCAGGACCCCTCGCAACCATAACTTTTACTACTGTAGGGTTGTGACCACCATTTTAATGTATATGACAGTGTCTTAATATTTTGATTATTGTATTAATGAAATGTTGTTTTTATTGTATCGATGAAATGTTGTTACCCATCCTGAGCCCGCTTGTGGGAAGGGAGGGTTATAAATATGAAGAAAGAAAGAAATAAGTCTATGGGATTGGGAGAGAAGGAAGGAAGGATGGTGCATCAATGTTCTATATCTCCAAATAAGCACCTCATCACTAGTCTTCTTTATTTCCATGGTTGCTTCTAGAAAAGAAGCAACAGTGGTAGATTCATCCTGGGTCTTCCATCTAATTGTGGTATGATTACCACAATAGTGAAGAAATTCCTGGACAAGCATCTGTCAGGAATGATCTTGGAAGACAGTATTCAGTCTTGGCACACAGTTGACGGTCCTTTCCATATTTCCCCCCATGCCTGAGTGTCAGGTTCTCCCCACAGGGGTAGCAGATGATATATCAGCCACAGGGATGAATCACCTGAGCATGTGTAAAAAGGGCCATGTTTCTTCAGTTATATGAGTGTCCTTTCCTCAACATTTATATGACCCAACCTGAGCATGTGTAAAAAGGGCCATGTTTCTATGAGTGTCCTTTCCTCAACATTTATCTGACCCAATCCAATACCCAAGGTTTAGCTTTCTAGTAGTAGGTGAGATGGCCATTCCTGTTGCAAAGCTCTAGTTTCACCCATCATTATGTGGCACATGGAGGACAAAATGATTTCTTGATGTTTTTAGTCCTACACCTCTAAGTTAGAATCCATGTACCGCATTTCTTTTCTGGCTGGATACGCATCTAAATGTTTGCATACCACCTACCAAGATATCACACATCGACACATGGCATATGCCTTCGATGGCATCACCATTGCTGTTATTATCTTCCGCATTTGTTACTCGACAAACGTGTTGTAAAACCATGTGCTGTAAAACCACATGGAAGCCGTTTGTTTATGGGATAATTGGTACCTCCAATCTTTGTACGACAAACAAAGACAAGGTGGGTTAACTTGCCTGACGATCATGTGCTTGAACAGATACAGCTACCTTTTGATGTGCATAATATATATATATTTATTTATTTAGGTCATTTATATGTCACCTCTGTGGAGAGAAATGTTTGTGCGTCAGTGCATTGGAAAAGGCTGTGCTGTCCCTAGACACACTGTTTATCACTTTAAAGTGTGTATCAGATTTTCACGGAAAGGATTACTAACGTGTTTGTCTTGGTAAAATAATGTGGGCACAGACACCCAGTGAGTGAGACGTCTCCTTTCCCATATAAACCTATTAAAAGAGGTATACAGGATCTTTTTTCACCCCAGCCCCTACTTGTACAGAGACAGTTCTTGAGATGATATGGGGAATGCATCATCATTGGTTGATCCCTAGTGGCAGAAAATCCATGACTAGGAATATGTGAAGTGGTATCTCCTAGCTTCCTAAAACAGTTATTCCCCACTGTAGACAAGGGAATAGAATGATTTAGATCAAAGATTGTTGTCATGTGTAATGGGGATGAAGAAAGAGAGGAAGCAATGTAAAAGTGACTCAAAAGAGGAAAGGTTAACAATAGAGCACAGCTGGAGTATGGACGGGAGACGAAAGTCGGTCCTTGTGGTGCATCCACGCACTGTGCAAAATTGGACAACGAACCCTTTTAGCATTATACAAAAATCTCAGGTATCAGCTGAGAAGTTGCAGTGGGTGGATTTATTTTTTTAAAAGAAGCTTTATTTCTCATTGAATCCAAATGGGAACGGGATACCCTTTTCCATGCTTGTGCAATGGAAAGGTATTAAGCCCCCCACCCCCACACCATTTCTCACAGCAAGCCAGATATTTTTTCCTTTGTTTTGAAAAACATACTTTATTGCAAATTCTTCTCCTTCTTCAAAAAGAGGCAGCCAGCCAATGATTTAAACATATTTTTTTAGGTCTCCGACATTGCCTTATCCATTCTGCTAAAGAACCAATAAAGACACAAGAGGAGACAGGACAAGGGAAAGATGTCGGTAGGCGGAGGAGGATGGAAGGGGCTCAGCGGGTACGGCAACGGTGGTTAGTAGCAAGAGGAGGTCATGTCGGAGAGCACAAGGGAGACGTTGACAAGGGTGGGTTTACCCGTGTTCTTGTCTATCGTCTTCTGAGTTGTCTGGTAGGGAAGCGCCTCATGACCCACCACGCAAGTGAAAGTGTTTCCTTCACTCCAGGCCTGCTCTGTGGTCCTCAGGGTGCTGTAGGCGAAGAACCGCTCGGGGCTCTTGGATTCCTGTATGGGATTGCTGGTGTAGTATTCTGAGCCTCCCACGACTTCATTGTTCTGCAGCCATCTTACAAAGAAGCCTCTGGGGAAGAAGTCCTTTATCAGGCAAGTGACGGTGGCTGTTTCCTTCAGAGCCAGTTCTTCCGAGGAAGGAGGGGAGACATAGACGGATGGAGGACTGCGGCTACCACCTGGATGGTGAAATGAAGAAAAGTTTGTGGGCGGGCACAAGGAGAACAAATGTATGCTGCTTGTGATCTTCAAGGGAATCCTTAATATGGCATTTTTAGCTTCGTGAGATGCCATTTTAACTCTGACCACTCAATCAACCCAACTGCCTTGCCAGGAGAGAAGCAGAGCCCCAGCAGCATAGTGGAGCGACTCTAAAGGGTGAACTGGAGTCAGCAAAAAGGTCCTCAGCAAAACAGACCCGATCGGAGTTTTGATGGCTTTCTAGCCAACCAGGAACAGACCCCTCTTTCACTGAACACAATGATGCTTCTCCCTGTAGGAGCGAGTAAGAAGGTACTCCTCAAGCTGGTTTGTACACCTTGTGAAACAGCCAGCCCTAATGCAGTCACTCCTGTCGCTGTTGTCATATATGGTGGGCCACCAGAAGCTCAAGAACCAAAAGTTCTTTTAAGGGGGGGGGGAGGCAGGAGAGATTTAGGGTTTGTGATTTTATTGTTTTGGTCTTAATGGAAAATGCTTTTAACTATTTGACTTTTCGCTGTCTTCTTGGAACTCCCAGTCATCTGAAGGGCCATCTCCCTCCACGTGTCCCTGTGAACCAGCTATGGTCATCAGGCAGATGTTGGCTATCCCAGATCTTGGGGTGGCTTGTATGGTATCGATCAGAACCTGGGCCTTTTCCATCCTGGCTCTGGTTCTGTGGAACGGGCTCCCTGAAGAGGTGCCCCCCCCTCCTTGGAGATCTTCAGGAGGCACTGCAAGTCCTTCCTGTTTGCCAGGGCTCTTGAGGGTGGTTGAATGGCAGACATCTTTTAAGGGGTGGAGATGTGAGAGATTTGGGGTTTGCCCTTTTATTTTTGGTTTTAATTGATGTAGGCTTCTAAACGATTGTTGTGAGCTGCCTCAAACCCCAAGGAAAGGCGGGACATAAATGTTTTGGTAAATAAATAAGTTGAAAGGTCACACATCATATGGATGGCGGGGTTGCCTGTGGTTTGGTGGGACGCAAATCAGGCACAATAGTCTTAACGAAAGCGATAATGCAGTTTCTGTCCTAAAGCAGACAAGCGTGTAACCAAAGAATGCAGTAGTGGTAGCACTCTAACCAGCTTCCTTGATCTGGACCAACAAAGTCCATGTAAAACCTCCTTGGAAGCTCTCAGGTTGGCCTTGGTCAGTTCACTAGCTCTCACCTTATAGAGTCATTATAAAGCAGTAAAAGAGGAAGGGAGCCCTAATCTGGGCCCAGGCTAGCCCCATTTCTTCAGATCTCAGAAGCTAAGCAGGGTTGGCCCTCGTTATTATTTGCATGGGCGGCCACCAAGGGGGTCCAGGGTCAGTACGCAGAGGCAGGCAATATCAAGTCACCGAAACAGAAAGGACAAAAAGAGCTCTGCTGCTACTGTTATCAGGAATTCATTGGTTCCTACACCTATTGAGGTAAGGGTATTTTTGGGCACTCCCTGCTTCTGGCTCAAGTTGTTGTGGATGATTCTAAGGGCAGTTCAGAACCATTCTAGACACTCTGGAGTCTACCAAATGGACACAGAAGACTAAGCTATTGGGGGTCCTTTAACCGTTTCGTGGGTCTGGGATGATACAGAAGAGTCACCTACCATTCTCCTTCTTCAAAGACCTTGTTTCAGTGCTGGCAAGTAGGGGAAGCGCCACTTTGCACTGGAATTCATCACCACTCTCCCAATCCTCTATGCAAACGTTGGCCGTGGCATCCACGAATACCAGCTCTCTGTCTTCCTGCTCTTTAGCCTGCCCAATCGTGGTTTCCAGTTCTTCTTCTGGTTTGTTGGCATGTTTTCGTATCCAGGTGACATTCAGTGCTGCAAGATCCTCGTCGAAGGGTATGTTGGAAACTCTGCAGGTCAGCTTGACTGACCTGGTCAGGTAGATATCCTCGAAGGATGGAGGGATGGTCTCCACACGAACTGGCACGCTAGCGCCGCCGCAATCTGGAGAGCAATGAAGGGACAACTGAGAACAACGTTCAGTTTCACAGGAAAGGAGAACATGGCCTTGGCTGGCTCCCGATACTCAGCCATCCTGAGTATTCAGCCATTCTTCCCTCTTTCATACCTCTTAAAGATGAAAGCGGAACAACATGATTGGCACTATAAGCACGTTTTGTACAAATTTGACTTAAAATACTGCTTTTGATACTTGGTGGGATCTGTCACTAGTCTTAAGCATTGCTGGTGAATTCTAAGGCAACAGGTGGCCTTTTGTAAAGTCTCAAAGCACAAAGCACTCTTCTTTTTTAAAAAACTAAGAGAACGGAAATTTAAATATTCACCAGCAGACTTAAGTCAGAAGAATTTGCCTTCCTTTCCCCCAGTGAATTTCAGCTCTAAATACAGTTTAAAGTCTGAATTAGCGCAGAGGAGGTCCATTTTCTTATGGATATCAAAATATGGAAGAACTGATGGTCCTAACTAACATTTGAGCCAATGTTGGTCCTCCCTGAGAGGCATTCTGGGACATGCCAAAGGGTGCTGTTTTAAACTATATGGGGCATCAGACACTTCTCCAGGGAATGGGGACTGAAGAATGACGGCGATTTGCAGTAGAGGGGGAAAGGATTTTCCCACAAATGATTGTGTCTTAAATTCTCAAATGCTGAGCTTTAAGGACATTTGAAAATTCAGTAATGCTTATATCCCATTGGGGGGGGTATATCCCTCATTCACTTCATGGAGCTGAAGGCAGCCTGCAGAGGGAACCCAGGTGATTTCTTCACTAGGCCTTGCACTGAATGCTAGAGTGCTGCTCCACATGTCCAGACCAGGTGTACTCCACTTTTTGAGCCTGAAAGCACCTTTGAAATGTTGAGAGGGGGACTATGCACTGGCTAAAGAAAACCCAGTTGCTTACCAGTCCTCCTGATCCTCCAATGGAAAACCCTTTCTTTTAGATGAGAGCAGCCAATAACAAGCCCTGTTTTACAATGGGCCCACCCAGTTTCTGAAAAGCTTGGGATGGCACCAAGGGAAGTACTGGCAGGCACCATAGTGCTCCTGCCCTGGACCTTCAATTTCTAAAGAGATTTCCAGGTTTCGCTGTGTCTGAATGCTTGCCAATTCATACAGAGTGAATGTCAGTCCCCATTTTTTTAAAAAAAGCATCAAATTTCGCTGCTCAATCATGGTCTATTCCAAGACTGATTCCATCCGCTTATTTTGAGTTCTTTTTAACATGACAAAAATGGAGGAGTCAACATTGTTTGGGGATTGATTTGGCAGGTTCTCAGCGGCAGCCGGATGGAGCACCAATACTCACCTTCACAGACGGAGGGCTTGCTGACGTTCCTGATCTCATTATACTTCTCATTTTGCACTTGGCAGGAGAATACTTTGCTAGCGAACCAGTCCCTTTTGGTGACGATGAGCTCGCTGATGATGGAGTAACCGCCACGGGCTTGTTTGATTGGTGCAGAGGTGGTGAATCCAGAGGAGAGCACTTTCCCATCCTCCAGCCACTTAATGGTCGTTTTCTCAGTGTGCAGGTTATCGGCCTTGCAGAGAAGGGTGGCATTGAGGTACGCACCTCGGAAGTCTTCTAGCGGAGGTACGCGGACAATAATCGTAGGCTCAAGTGGAATACATTTGGCTGAAGGAAGGAAGGACAATTAGAAGAACAGATGTATGGCAGCTATATTTATTCACAAGAGCAACATTAAAAGAGTAATTGAAACTATATTTATAGTAAATATCTACAGAACCACCCACCCTGAATAGCCTGGGCTAGCCCGGCTTCATCAGATCCCAGAAACTAAGCAGGATCGGCCCTAGTTACTACTTGGATGGGAGACCACCAAGGAAGTCCAGGGTTGCTACTCAGAGGCCGGCGATGGCAAACCAGCTCTGTTCATCTCTTGCCTTGAACACCCTATGGGGTCTCCATAAGTCAGATAAGACTTAATGGCACTTCACAAACACACATCTACAGAACCAGATCTATTTAGGAATATATCTCCTTCAAACACAGAAGAATATTTTTCACCAGGCGGTATACCTGACGTTCTCCTTCCGGAGAAACTCCTTCACGTCCATTTGAATCAGTGGGAAGCAGGGCTTCCTTCAAGCCTGGGCTGCTCATCCTCAGAACAGAGGAGATTATAATCTGTGAAAGAGTGCTACAGAGCATGGGCAGAACACCTTTTCCTTACTACAGAATAATCACCTCTCCCTCATCAGGATCCCTAGTTTGGAAAAAAGTTTTCCAGGGCGAAACAGGAAGCTCTTGAGTTGGTGAATATTAAGCCTGCCCTGCCTTTCAGTGATTGTTGATTATGTTGAAATGATAAAGGCATGTAGCACTTTAGGGACTATCTAGTTACTGGACCCTATGTAAGCAGTAATTCCCACAAGATGTTGTGAGAGAATAAATCTAAGGTTGCTATGGCACTTTCTGAGTACTAGTTGCTAATCTTCTGAAATTGGTCTGTGTTCTTCTAGCTTGGCAGGGGCAAGGGCATTGCTAGTCAGACAAAACAAACCACACATATACATATATACTTACTTTGACGAACGACTCGTGCCACTCTGGTCTCAGAAGCAAGTTGGGCCTTGCAGAAGTAGGGTTCAAACATCTCCCACTGATTAGCAGGGATGGTCGCCTCAGAGCTGGTGGTGTAAACCCCATTAGAGTTGGCAATAGAAGGGAACCGCCTGATTTTTTCCGCCTCGAGACTGTCATTGTTTGGCTTTTGCCAGGAGAAAGTGAGGGAGTCGGGTAGGAAATCCTTGGCTAAGCACCCAACGATGACGTCTCCAGCATTTGTGTAGTCCGATGGAATGAGGGGGAAAAGAGAAGGGGCAGATTGGGAAGCTGAGGGAGAAGAAGAAAACAAAAGGATGGAGGGTTTTTTGGAAGGTGTTGAATGTTCGTCCAGGGTCGATTCGCTCAAAACGCAAACTATTGCTATGTTAGGTAAGAAAGATGAGATTATCCAGTATTCAAATGCGCATATTTTTCCTAGTTGAGGGCCTATTTCTTTTCCTTATCAACAAGGGATGCACACACACATAAAAAGGGAGAACTCCCTTTCATATAGTACTGATCATATTGGGGGTTTGCCATCCAGTAAGCTTTGCTAGGCCCCAATTTCTTGTGATATTATTACTGAAAGATTTCAACGGGAGGAATTTAAGGATGCCCAGATGTCCCCCTTTCTTTGTGGATGGACAGTGTTCGGCTGAAGTTTTGAAAAAAATGTTGGCGGACTTTCTTCAGAATACCCACAAAGAAGGCAAAGTCCCTTCAGAGAAGCTGTAAGCTCCAGTGGAGAACCTCTTTTATCATCATGTCACTTTTCCAGAGGCTAGCTTGGCCTGGAGTTGTTTGGAAATGGGATCCATTTTGTAATGCCCCTGTTTGGGCCTGTATCATTTATCATTTATATTGGCCAATGAGGAGGCGCATGAACTAGGGTTGCCAGTTCTGAGTTGGAGACTTTGAGTTGGATACCTGGAGACTTTGGGGGTGGATCTGGGAGAGGGCGGGATTTGGGGAGGGGAGGGGCCTCAGCATGGTACAATGCCCTAGACCCCACCCTTCAAAGCAGCCATTTTCTCCAGGGGAGCTGATCTGGAGCTGATCTCTGTCAGCTGGAGATCAGTTGTAAAAGCGGGAGATCCCCAGGCCCCACCTGGAGGCTGGCAACCCTAGCATGAACCTTAGAGAATCTTTAAAACAGGAAACAAGTTAGTGATGAGAATGGACCCAGATGTAGAAACCTTGTGGAGACAGAGTTTGAAGCCGGTGGGTTTTGTTTTGTTTTATACATTTGCTGTCTTACTATGGTCTTGGAAAGGTAGTTGCTCCTCTACCATCACTAGCTCTGAAACAGCAACACTTTTAATTTCAGCAATTTTTACACGTGATAAAAGGAAACAAATCTTTTTTTTTAAATGCTGATGTTAACTATGCAGTAAAAGCACACAGCCTTCCCCACCACAGCCCCACCCAACCATTTGACATTCCTGTTGCCGTTACTTTCTTGAAGCATTTATATGGCACACTGACAATCACCCATAACAGTAAAGTCTCTTTAAAAACAACAACCACCCTTTTGGAAAACTTCATCTCTTTTTTTTTAAATAAAGAAACAATAGACATTTAGGGGCATTTCAAATGTTTGAACATCTGCATCCATCAAGTTATACTTATCAGATCACACAAAACCCCTTGGGAGGGTCGCCATCTCTACCTTGGGAAACTCTTGGAGATTATAGGGGTGGAGCCTGGGGAGAGCAGAGTTTGAGGAGGGGAGGGTACGATGCCACAGAGTCCATCCTTCAAAGAAGCCAGTTTCTCCAGGGGGAACTGGAGAGCCAGCTTGGTGTAGTGGTTAAGTGCATGGACTCTAATCTGGGAGAAACGGGTTTGATTCCCCACTCCTCCACTTGCACCTGGCTGGATGACGTTGGACAAGCCATAATTATGA